TATTTATTTATTTATTATAATATATTATGTTATCGAGTATCACTTATGGAATTTTATTAATAAAATTATTAGTAATATAATTATATATTATTTATATATTTCCACATATTCTAATCCTATTTTTCTAATTGCGATTAGATTTTTAATAATAATTGTTGTAAAAAAATGTTAAATATTCAGTATTTATCATACAATCTCTATAATTGTACATAAAACCTGTATATAATTATATTGGTTATAATTTGAATATATAGAACATTTACTCAAAATTAATGACGCTATATAAATAATATTTCATTATTTTTATTTTTGTAGTTTCAGGAATATTTTAACTTGCGCATACAATCGCGATTGGTCGTGTAATTTAAAATGGAATGGTCGTGTTCGTTGATAGTTCGCGACAGCAATCGGCTATAAATTTATGTGCGGTGTGTTATTTGAACGGTAACGCATGATAACGGCACGCTAAGTCCGTTTGGTTATCATTAATCGGCGCAAAATCGGTTGCATATGTGTTACCACATTCCAGTAAGGAATTCGCAGATACACAGTCTAAATTTTTGGGAGTGAAATTCATTCTCGCCCGACTGACGCAACTATCACTTTTCTTGGAGAGAAATTCCATTTCCAAATAGAATGCACGCAGAACGAACATCTGTGAAGTTCTAGCACTTCATTAAAAAAAAAAAAAAAAAACTTTTTCTTACAATTTCAATGCATCCCGAAGAGAGCATCCAAAATTTTGTAATAAAATTAAAAATAGTTCTGATTAATTAAGCCATAAATAATAAAACCATCGATATAAATTTTTAGATGCCAACTTCACAAAACTAAGTACGAGAAATTGTGATATCTCTTTAAATATTAGGATGCATTCTGAATTATGAAGCGCATGAAGCGCATGATGCATCATTGTCCTTGTTTACCAATTAATAAAGAAGAATAAAACGATACATCATGCGTTTCATGCGTAACTCGGAACGCACCTTTAGTTTCGAGAACGATGCGCGAATCATGAAGGAATGCAAACCGATTGAATTCTGCGTATTTGCCGATAATCCGTGATAATACATTCAGTGATAAACAAGAGAGTTATCCCTCCTTTGTGTTTCTCTGCCCTCATTGCGTCGTCCTTACCGGGGCAACACTATGATAAGAAGCGGTGACTGAGCATCTTATCAAACGAATTCTTCAGCGGCGTGACTCACTGGCAATGATACTTAGGTACCATATGTATTACATCTCCACCGTGTTATGTCGGCGCAATATAATCCGAAATTATAACTCTAATCCGCTTACGATTACCGGCACCATGCCGTGTCGGTCGCTTTCATCGACTCCTGAACTCCGCCTACTGGAAGCAATCGAATCGAATGGATGCTACTATTTTGATGATCAGAATAGAAGGAGGACACCGATGATTCATAATGACGAGCTGGCGATGACAAGAACACCCGGGCCGATCGCCTCACCATAGAATCTCACCATAGATCTACGTCATCAAGTCATCCCATAATTATTCATAATTATCTTTGATAAACACATTTATTGTGCCGCTCACGGTAGCTTATTCTCTAATAATAAATATAATAAAAATTGATTGGAACGATATAAGATTAAGATTTTGAATGAAGAACAAGGATTTAATAAATGATTAATTTCGGAAGTGATTCATATAAAAAAGCAAAAAAATGGACTGAATTTACAAAATGACACGGAAATGTTGGATCCGTTATATAATGATTTAATTAAGAAGAAAAAATGATGTTTCTTTGTTTTATGAATTGATACAAATTTTATGAACTATAAAATTTGTATCTAATCGTTGATTTCTAATTGAGTGATTATTCGATTTATATTGATAATTTATTTAGTTGTCTTGTCTGATAAGTTATTTTTGTATCGTCAATTTTCATGTTGATATTTATTCTTTTTAACATTTATACTTAAACAATATGAAATATTCCCTCACACGCTCTCAAGACATAGTTATAATCGCATCGAGTTTACAAAGTAAAGTTTATCTAATTGATATAATTAATTTTAATACATTGATTATGAATAGTAAAAATTATTAACACAATTTTAGCTAAATGACGATAATTCTTGTTTGGATATTCAACTAAGTACAACAGACGACTATAAAATTCTTAAATTTGAACAACAGCCTAACAATGATTCATTAATTGTATTCGTCTATCTTTTTACAACGATTTAGACTCCGAAAAATGTTATTGATACACTGAAAAGGACCAAATTTTGTGGTCGAAACGTCTATAATTGATGATTACATATTATATTTTTACACACGTACAACTGTGTCGACTCTCATTGGTATTATGCTCCTTTATTGATTTAATCGTTGGAGCCTTTTTTCAATTTTTAATTAAAAATTGATCGCTTTATAATTCTTGAAATTTAATTTTGAATAAGAAATAACTATATTTATTTTCTTAGCAAGAAAAACAGGACATTGGAATTAAGTTCAATTTCGAATTATAACTTAATAACTTTGTTTTATTTAGCATGCTTCACATGCGTTTTGCATACATGGAAAGAACAATTTTACTGAAGTATTTAAAAATTTGATTTGGTGTATTGAAAGAAAAAAATGGCAAAAATGGCTGAATATGACATAGCATTTTTAATTGATTACTGCAGCCAAATTGGCTGATGCAGTCAATTAAAAATTACTTTACTATATCCAATTAAAAATGCTATGTCATATTTTACCATTTAATTTGCTGCAGCAATCAATCTTTTCTTTCAGTGTGAATTAACAAAATTATTTTTAGATCTATATCTAGCTAAATTTTTTAATATTTCAGCAAAAATGTTCTTCCTGTGTACAAGTGTAGATACAAACAGCTTAATTTTATTCAATATTCTTAACGTGTACGGAGTACACTTAGCTAATGTAATCTCACGCGCCTAATGAAGGATTAAATAATAAGGATTAAATTTCTAAGTCCTTTCTAAGGAAACTTAGAAAGGACTTAGAAATTTAATCCTTATTATTTAATCCTTCATTCCTTTTCTAAGTTTATCTTTCCTCAGAAACAGATATAACCAGCTCGACTTCGGCATTTTGCTTGGAATTAATTTGCGACGAGTGAAGAAACGCGTGATTACAGACGGATCTTGTTTCTAGTCGAGTCATCTCGCATGATCTCTCGAGAGATCCAATGGGACATGTGGAGTTCCACAATCGGTAGCGACAGCTTTACTTCGCATCTCATCGCTTATCAAAGTAGTTAGTTCCGTTTCATTTGCTCGAAACGGCGAACGCGCGCACGCGTGAAGTCCCGTCCATTACGAAACGGTGAGAAGGCGTGTTTCCACCGTGTGAGAGGCGTCGCGACTTCCAGACGGGGACCAATCGATGATTTCTCGAGAGTCATTAACTCATATAACGAATGATGCCAGGAGAACGTTAATGTCGATACCGCCATACTATTATATATGGCGCCCGTACTTTTCATCTTTATCAATTAGAATTTATACGATTGCGGAATTATTGGGATTTAGGTAACAAACAGGATTATATTTCGCGATCATGTATTAATAGATAGTCAAAGCCTGGTATAAATAAGATAAGGAATGATGTAGATATAATGTAAAAGAAAAAAAGAAAAAGTTTTCGCCAAGAAATATTGTCGAACATCTCACGAGGGAAATATATTCCTGTTTGGTAGGTCAGTAACACATATTACTAAGCGACGTAATCGCCGGAATTGCCTGAGACAAGTGAGTATAAGATAAGATATCGATTCGTAACGATGAGTGACGAAATGTAGACGACGCGACGCCCGCACCTTGCACGAAATGCCGGCGTTCAGCCTCGTTAACTTAACTTTATCGGCAAATCTCGAAATTGGGTCCAGTCGGTTGTGACACGTCGCGGTGAACGCATTATCCTCTCGATTCATGCGGTTGATTGCGACTCTTCATATCATTCGTGCAATTAACTCATAATTTTTGCGGAAAAGGATTCATCGAAAAATCGAATCTTGGAATTTAAAATCGTGATATTATATATCAGAATTTTGTGCATTTAGAATTAATACACAAAATCACATAAAAATCTTGAACAAGTTTGAAGTGACGAGTAGCTTTAGAATTTGCTGGAGATTTTTCTTGAAAGGTGAGAACGAGAGTGAAAATGTATGATAAATCATGAACGTGGTAAAAAAAGAAATTTTATAAGTTAATATTCACATTTATGTTCAGGACTGATATTTTCGCATTTTATCACTTAAAAAATTACTAAATTTTAATAAATATTTATTTAAATAAATAGTAGATATTAACTAAATATTTACTAAATGTAAACATTTATTTGGTAATAAGAATCATTAATTTAAGTACAAGTTTTTTAATAAGTAAATATTTATTTGCTCTAAGTAAATGTTTACTAATATTTAAACAAATATTTATTAAAACTTTTTCAGTAATATTATACAGAGTACAAATGAAATGAGTGATCTGGTTCATACTATTATCGAGTAATAATTTTATTGATTTATTAGATAAGATGAAAGAAAAGATTGGTTGTTGCACCAAATTAGATGATAAAATATAGCATAGCATTTTTAATTAATTACAATGCTAATTTTTGGTTGCTTTAGCCTATCGAAATTTTATATTGACATTATGGATAGGCTAATGCGACTAAAAATTGGCTGCTGCAATCAATTAAAAATGTTATGCGATATTTTACTATCTAATTTGCTGCAGCAGGAAATCTTTTCTTTCAGTGATAACTGAATTGAATAAGTCTCTAGGTTAGCAAGATATTACCAAATTTATTTGAATAATTTAGAATTCAATTTGTACTCGATCGAAGCTAATAAGAGTGCGTGACATACTTATGCAATGAAAATAATCGATTGCGAGTCTCAATTCTGATTCGGATGGAATGATGATTTGGCAATAATAATATCGTCGCGATGTAAAAGATCAGGAATATACGAGTACATGTTTATTGAATCTGTCGACAGATCGGCGGCGCAGTAGCCATGTCATCGCCGGATCGGCACGACGGATCATCACGAGAAATCGGCGTGGAGCCGGGAGAGAGTCATCGTCGTCGGCCCGGTATACTTAGGGCCGCCGAATAACGCCGGCAACCGAGAGATCCTCGGTAACCGAAGGATCGATACGAGCGGATCGATCCACCAGCTCGCAACCTACGGCCTCCTTGCTGGCCTGGCCAGCTACTATGCGAATTGAAGCTCTCAGCACCCTCGTCGCGGTAAGTTCTAATTGTAACATAAATTTCGACGAATTTTGTTACTTTTACACTGAGAAAAATGTCTGATTGAAAATTTGATTAAAAATTGGACGAATCAGAATTTTCTAATTAAATCTACTAAATTCTTGTTATAATTAGAATTCTAATTGATCAGTATCTTTTGGTTCGTCCATTTCCAGGCATTTTCTTAGTGTACATTCAAATCCGGCAAATTTGATTTCGAAACTCTTTCAGTGTATAATGTGTTTAAAGAATTACATGTACACATATTCAAGAAAGATAATGAGTAAGAACGAAAGTTCAGAGTCTTGTATATAAATACATGATATGTAAGAAAATGAACTAATCAAAATCCTTCATTTCCTTCCTTTATATAAAATAAAAAAGCTCTGATTGATTTATTTTCTTATACTTTTTGTTAAGCAAAGACTTGTACCGGCCTTAAACTAAAATTGCAAATTTTGAAAAAAATTTAGAAAACAAAAAAGTCATTGAAGATCGCATTTGTCGTATTAATCTGATTAAGCTTACATTGAATTATAAATTAGAGATTGAGGATTTAATTGCAAATTAAAGATTCAAATTAAACCGCTCAAAATTAAACGTATTAAAATTAAATTTATTTGATTAATCGAATTCTGATTTTTAATTTGTAAACTTTAATCTTCAATATAATACAGGCTTTGGATAATTGACTCGTTAAATTATCTTTCGAAGATGGTCAATCGAAACCTGTTTGACACACAAAGTGTTAACAGTAGCCTCTCCACGGATATCTCTTAATAAAATCCTTCACCACGTGCTTGTTACGTGCAGAGTGCTTAAGGTCATCCATAATTATAATCGAGTACGAGCCCCCGTACGATTGATGCAACAATCGACGAGCGTGCACGTCCTGGCGTTGCATTGTACCGGATGAGCGAGCAGCGAAACAATAATTACAATGTCCCGTAACTACGTAACTACGTAACGATCGTAAAGTACCACCGGCCGCGTGCGTTATTAGCATATTATTGAGATAGCGGTGTGCATACACGCGGACCGCTGATAGAGTTGTGTATGTCTCACTCTCTTTTCCTCTCTCAACTGCTGCAACTCACGAACATATCGATAAATTTTTAGAATTACGACGAGGATCACGCGCTCTTCCATGTCACATTTTTCTTTCATCTCCTACCTACATTTTATCACAACCTTCGTCATGTTTTCGTACAACTCACTTTCGATATAATTCGAGATATAATTGTTATTATAATTTGAATAATTTCATATATAATACGCGTCAACTTGTGTTAAAATCTTTCTAATAATATTCGAAGAGAGATGGAATCTAGCGAGTGAGATATGGCACAAATTTTTGGCATGTAAAACACTCGTAAATATTTACTATGAATTTATACATAAATATACTTTGTCGATATTAATAATTGACATGATCATGAAACGACTGATTGAAAGTCATATTTTAGTTAGAAGTTTAAATAAACAATTAACTCATTTCTTCTTACCATCTTCTTTCTATCCTATTTATAGCATTTCTT